ATCAAACAATTTAGACTTTTTCCGATGTTCGAGTACCGGGTAGTTTGTATCCTGTAGTTACAATATTAAAGTCACCACTGAGCGCTCAGGCGCAGACAGGATTCTATGCATGCACGAATAGGTTCGTAACTTTTTTTCTGAAAATGACCAGGTGGCTGTTAAACGTCAAAAAACGATGTTTGGGCTGTTTTTCTTTTTTGCGCCTCTTGCCCCTAACTCCGCCACTAGACCCATCTTCGAGAACAACAATTTTTCATCCAAATCCGAGCAGTACTTTGCAAATTACAGACGGGCTAAGGATTAGCAAACAGACCGACAAACAGACAGACAGACCGACAGTCCGACGGAAATGAGTGACATGGTTTCTCGTGATGTACACGACATGTTACATCCAAAACACGTAATATCACGTTTTTGAAGTTATTGAATTCCTCGCTAGTGGCGTGATAAAGCAGAATATTCAAGAATGACCTTGAAAGACAAGATTTTTGATTGAAAAACAACATCGTCAAATAGGTTGACTCTACACTTCCCCGTATAGTTCTCAGCCATTTGACAACGCTACGACCTAACAACTTTTCCCATGCCCTACCGATAGTATCAAGCGTCTGGCAACGTTGCTACACCTCACTAGCCAGAGACAAATACGACCAAACCTCCAGCCACGAACTAATTCCAAAGTTTGAATTAGACACCTCGACTTTTCACTTCCAAACTATTTATCCGTAGAAAGATACCTTTTATTCGTATTCTTTTTAACAGATAAGACATTGAGATTAAGATTTACTTTTCGAGAGTTCAATACTGGCGGTCTTAAAAGTTCCCCAGACAATAGAAAGTCTTTGCAACGGAAATGAGGCGCGAAACTTGATTTTAAAGTCGCAAAGTTTTTTACTGCACCTCTGCCATAACGCGGCGACGTTTAAATAAAAAAATGCGACTTTTTTTTAATTATGAAACTTTGAAAGAGAGGTAGTACGGTTAAAATAATTAATTGAGGGCTTGCAATCCGAATTAGCTGTTAGATAATTGAAGAAGCTTGCTTTTTGCTGTACAATGTAGGTACTGCTTCTACACTGGGTATCCTGATTCGAGATGATAATGATCACTTCGCGATGAATGTTATATACCTTTGCGCATGGCGTCACTCGGTGACAAATGTTCCGCTTGTCGTAATCAAATGCGTTGTTTTTTTTTTGTTTTTTTTTATATAACGAAGCAGCCGCGCAGGCAGAAGTCTACATGCCGGAACGATTTTTGAACTGCCTAAGGTTAGTAGAACTAGGAAAAGCTTCCTCTTGTAGATTGTTCCACAATCTCGACACCCTCGGGACAAAGGAGCGGTCGTATCGGCCAGTTCTGGATGTACGAAGTTCGACGTGGTTACGACGGGACGCCAAAGTCAGGCGGCATCATGGAAGAGAGCTCTGCGGAGCAAAGCCTGTTGGTGTAGCGGTAGAAAAGAGCTAGATCGCCAACGGCTCGCCGGTGCGAAAGGGTCCCGTGACTGTCTGTTAGAGAAGAGTCATCGATCAGTTGGACTGCCCTCCTCTGGACAGCATCGACCATGGATAATGTAATCGGGGCGGCAGCACCCCAAACGTGTGAGCAATACTCGAGGCTAGGCCTCATCTGGGCCTTGTATAGAGTGAGAAGGTCATGCGGAGAAAAGTACTTCTTAGCTCTAAACAAATAGCCTAGCTTTTTCCCAGCAGCTGCTGCTATTGACGAGATGTGTTTGTGCCAGATCAGGTCCTCGGTGATCTGGACTCCGACCAGCTGAAAGGAAACGCTTTTTGGCAGAACTCTGCCATCCATCGAAACCGGATGAGCGCTAGGACGCTTTTTGTTCGTCAAAGTACAGTACTGTTTCTTGGAAGGATTGAATTGTACAAGATTGTTGCGTCCTCAAGCAATGATAGTCTCCAGGTCTCTTGTCAGAGAGGAATTCGTCGCTAGTCTTCTTCTTTCCAGCTCAGCGGCAGAGATCGGCTTGTCACTCTGAATTTCTGCATGTAGAGTGCTGTCATCAGCGAAGCTGTGGATTCGGTTGATCGTGCAAGAAAAGAGGTCGTTGATATGTAAGAGAAACAGTGTCGGAGCCAAGACCGATCCCTGGGGAACACCCACGTTGAGGTTGTGGGATGAAGAGGAGAACCCGTCAATTACGACGGATATCTTGAGGCCAGATATAAAGTCAGCCACCCATCTGCAAAGCTTTTCTGGAAGGCCATAGGATGAAAGTCTGCTTAAGAGGGCAGCGTGCCACAGCTGATCGAACGCTTTCGTGATGTCAAGAGCAACGACATGAGCCTCACCATAAGACTGGATAAGTTTACTTCACAATTGCGTGACGTAGGCTAGTAGCTCCCCTGTGGATCGTTGGTGCCGGAAACCATACTGCCTGTCGCTAATCAAGCTGTGGCTTTCGATGTAGTCCAGAAGCTCGCGATTTATGCACCTCTCCATCACCTTACTTATAACAGAAAGCAGAGCTATAGGCCTGTAGTTGCAAGGGTCGGTCTTAGCTCCTTTTTTTGGGGTGGGTTGGATATGAGCAAATTTCCAGTTTTCTGGGAAGGTGCCAGATTCATAAGATATCTGGAACGACGAAAGAACTGGAGCAAGCTCCGCTGCACACCTCTTCAGTACAATGGCAGGAATCAAGTCCGGACCAGAAGCTTTGTTGATGTCGAGCGACAAGGGCACTCGTCTTACGGTCTAATGTCTGAATGTTACCTCCCGCATAGGGTAGGGAACCCTTTGAATTAACGGTACTTGGGTGTTGGGGGGACGTCCATGGTGGAGTTGGCAACAAAGATCTTGGCTAGCACTTCCGCCTTGGCCTTTGAGTCAAATACAATATTTCCATCCTGACTTGTAAGTGGTGGAAGGCTACTGTGTGAGAAGTTCTTTTCAATCTGCTTGGCCAGCGTCCAGAAAGACTGACTGCCATTGCGCTGCGACATTACCCTGTGCATAACTTTTATATCGTGCTGGTTTTTTGCATTGCGAACCTCTTCGTTATATTTGTTTCTGGACTCAACGTCGGCTTGTCTCTTCTCTACAGTGGGGTTTTGTAAGAAGTTTCTGTGTGCCTTGATCTTCTGCTGGCGAGCAGTGTCACACGATTTGTTAAACCAGCCGTTGGACCTTGGTTTGGACACTTTCACTGTGTGAGGGATGTATTCCTCCATTCCGACGTGGATAATTTCGGTTAAGAACAGACAGCTGACGCATCTACGTCAGTGAAACAGACATCTCTCCAAGGAAAGCTGGAGAAGAAGTCTCTGAGCCCCTCCCAGTCGGCTTGTCCGTAATACCAAATTTTGCGGCGTGTACGAGTTTCTGCTGCCACAGCAGCTTCTGACCGAAACCTAACCTCCACAACACCGCGGTCTGAGTTACCCAGGGGGGACAGGGCAGCAGTGCTGTAAGGGACAGGATGCGTGGTCAGAAAAAGATCCAGCAGGCTTCTGGCGTGTGACGAGACGCGGGGGAAAAAGGTAGAAAAGCACGGCGGGATGATTGGATTGCAGGTAGTGATGAACAGCATCAATGTTGCTGTTAATCCCGCAGATGTTCGAAAAACAAATTTTATCTTCGATGTTGTTCCCTCGAGCCCACCCTCCACCCGAACATTCCGAGAGTGGAGTGAGTTTACGTCCGAAGTTCTTAGTGCTCGTGGGATCCATCATCACCAATTTCTTTGTTTTGTATGATAACCGACTGCATAGCTTGGGTGTGGAAACATGCGGACTGGTCCTTGTCTACCACCTACACTACAAGCATTTGTCACGGCCCCGCTCAGTAGGGTTGCTCCTTTTCTTTTGAATATTTGCCTTATACAATTTTTTGTTATGGATTTTATATGATGAACATTATACTTTGATGTTTTGCCAATATAATTTAATGACGGATATCATTATATCCAGAAGACATTACCGTTATAAAGTTATCACTTTGAAAAATTAACAGTAGACAAGTTGAAAGACTCTAAATAACTTAAGACTTAGTAATCGAAAATGCCCTTGTAGCTAAAGCGCCATATAAAGGTATAGACTGATTGTAAGCCCGTAGGTTTATCTTCTCGAGTAATAGTATCCTCAATATGCAGTAAGAATCCAAGGTCATACCAAATAACAGTTATATAAAGAGAAGTCACTTTGTGAAATTTACGAGAAAAACAGCCATCTAAACTAGTGTTTCTTGTACATTGACACATTAACCTTTCTTTTTAGCTTCTATTTTAAAATGTGTTTGGTAGTGATTTCTCTTGAATTCTACCGGTTATGCGTACTTTTATTAGTTGAACGAAAATTTAGCTTACTGCATTTGTTGTAAACACTGACTTCGTTTTGATCAACAACATTGTTGTCCACTTTGGTAGATGCAAACTTTGTAAAATATCTGTTATTATGCACATAGTTCAGTCTTTTCTGGTTTTAGAGCATTCTCAGGTAAAAAATGACTCTAATAAGTAGAATATATTGCATATATTCAAAACAAATTCATGCTATGTTCCGAACAGCACAAATATCATCAATAATGGCATCCAGATTAAGTAATAACTTCGATAAGATTACTTACCTCAAAAATCATTTTGTCAGATGCACGGCCACCATAAGCTTTAAACACAAAAGTAATCAAACTAGCAGGAGCAACTCTTGAACTTAACTGTAGTATGTTTCTTATACTGAGAGTAAAACTTAATGCGCCAACAAAGACATTGGATGTTTGGATATTTATTTCTGCACAATCTGAAACAACTCGACAATTTTGAAAATATCTGAAACATGTTAAGATATTTCTCCAGCAGGAGGGAAGTAGATCCAAGGTTCTAAAATTTCACTCAAAACAAAAATAATGACAAAATAATGGTTTATCTAATTATTGTAATTGGCTATAAATGTGGAATAACACGTAAAGTGATACAAAAATGAGATCTAGTTTTAATTTTGTCATTGTGGAAAGGAATTCTTCCACATTTGTCATTTTACTATGTATTCAGAGATTTCCAAATTGTTTATTCCTGTGAGACTCCTTAAAGCACTATCTATCGTTACGTTAATAGGTGTTGATATTTTGTCAGTGTTAACTTTAACTTTAGAGTGACGAACTGAAAACTGCTTATTTTGAAGAACATTAATTCCAATTTCACTTATGTCTTGGCCTGAGTTCTCAGAGTGCACTGAATATGGCCTCTCCCTGTGTTTCTCCCTGAAAGAAAACAAATTATTGTAGGCTGTAGACAACTATTAGTTTAATGGAGATCCCCAAAGCAATCAATGAAATGTACAAAAATTAATTGATGAATATGAATTACAATCAGTACCTACCTTTATTAAAATAATCTTCCTTTTGGAAATGACGACAGCATACTTTCATAAATGCTGTAACTGACTTCCCAATTCTAAGTTTCCAAACCCACGCTTTTCTTCTCTGAACTAGTTATTTTCCCGTTTTAGTTTCAAAATAAACTTTCTGCCCGTACTCGATGGGAAATTTATGAAAGCTTAATTCCTTTTTGGCCCAAGAATTACATTGCGGAACACAACAATAAGATTTAAAGAAAAAACTGCGAATTTTAACGTAGAATATGGTAACTTGCTGGTTAAAATTTGCATGTAAACATGTTGAACAGTGGCGCATTAATGAACAAGATACTAGTTTCTATAACCGGACTTAGCTTGGCAATAGGCTCATAGATGACTCGCCATGTACCGATGCAACGTTGCGAAACTGACGGAAAATGAGGATAAACTGGTACATTTATACTGAGCTGAATAAAGTACAGTTCTTTTCAGGGTTTGGTGGTTAAATTACAATTACATACGAAATTACTGGACAGACTATCTTAATTGTACCACTTGCTGAACCTTCCTAGCGAAATTGTACATCACTCAAGCGGATCCTAGATAATACCGAAAACTTAACACATACTGTTGATATTGTAGATGCAAATTCAGGCACTGCTATGTTTTATATCAGAGATCAGCAAGAGGTAAACTCAAATCGCACGCCTATGAAAAGCAACTTGTCACACTAATAGTGATAAGTATAAATGCGAAATCATGATGATGAGAAAATCTTTGAGGCGGTGAAGCAAAACTAAAAACGTATGCCGGTGGGCCTACACAAAGAAACTTCCTCGCACAGACGAGGGTGAATCAAATATGAACTGGACTTTTGTTTTAGTAATTTTGTTGGTATAGTAAATAATAGTCTATTTACATCTTATTTTCCTACAAAATCTCCTCTCTTATTAGTACATTTTTTGCATCGAATCGGAAGTTTTTTAATTCACCCATCAAAGAATGAAGCTGGATGTGTCAGTAGCCAATTGTGCACGAACGTTTCCATATCTTCGTCGTCGTCAAAGTGATAACGTCCCAGGTCTTCTTTAAGTGGCCCAAACATGTGATAGTTACATGGCGACAAATCGGGTCTGTAAGGTGGGTCTTCAAGTGTTTTTCAAAGAATTTCGCGTAATTTTTTTTCAGTCAATGCGGCTGTGTGTGGCCAAGCGTTGTCATGGAGCAGAATGGCACTTTGAATACGCATGTCCCGCCTTTTTTGCTGATAGACCAGCTTCACTTCTTTAAGTAAGCAGCATTAACTGAACGGCGGTCGTAAAGCAAATAAACTAGCAGTACACCTCTGGAGTCCCAAAATACCGTTGCAAGAACTTTTCCTACAGAAAGACTGGTCTTGGCTTTTCGCGGTGCTGCCTATTCAGACTTTCGCCAATCAATGGAAAACATTTTTGCCAGTCGTATACTTGTAACTTTGAAACTATCTTATCGCCGAACTGTGCTGATAATCGACATAAAATTTCGGAAGGTTTTACGCGCTCGCGTGACAAAAATTTTATGATAATGTGTTGCGGAACAGACGTGTGCAACTCTTGCTCAGACATGATGCTACTAACGGCTCGTCTACTTCGGCGCGTCAAATCGACCAACTTCCCTCTTCCTGACATCCCCACCCAACATATACCAAGACGTCACCCCACTCCAATCACCTATGGCGCGTTAAACAGAAAAGTCCGATTCATATTTGATTAACCCTCGTAGATTGAATGTATGTGTGATCGAGATGAATGTATGAAAGTAATTCTTGTTTCACTGTTACCCGCCAAAAATCGTAAACAATTTTATTCAAAAAGGGCCCCTTTTGACGAATATGTATCCTGCCAGGCCCAAAATTGCGTCAAAAATGTTTTGAACAATTTTTTAATTAATTCTAGTAATTATTTTTTTTGCTCCGCTAAAGTGTTCCTGGGCTTTTTGGGACATTCTAAACAAGAAAGGTGCTTCAGAACTCTTCTCTCAAGTTAGATAGCTTTCGAGATATGAGCGATACAATATTTGAAAAGATATGATATCCTCGAACCCGAAAAACAGTATGAAAAAACGGAAATTTTAGTGTCGCCAATATTCGTGAATATTCTTCAAACATCCGTTAACGAAATTAGGTATTATTGTAATTGTTAGTCGAGCGCACAGTTAGCGGCCGCCCCAACATGTTGCATCCCTTTCGCACTCACGCGGAGTATTTACTGAGCCCGCAATCGGTTAACAATTAAAAACAAAGGATTTTGTCAATGGATGTTTGTAGAAAATTGAGGAACATTGGCAACATTGAAATTTTCGTTTTTTCGAATTGTATTTTTGTGGTCGCATGTGTCGCACGTTTTCAAATATTGCATCGCTTATATTTCGAAAACTATCAACTTTAGGGTAAAGGTCCGGATAACCTTTTTGTTCAGAATGACGCAATTTTCTGCTTGGAAACATGCAGATTCGTTAAAAGCAGCCCTCTTTGAATAAGATTATGCAAATAATCCGAATCAGAATATTTTACCCATAAAATTATTGCCCTGACTGAGACGTATTTGGACGCCATGGTGGACACCATGTTTTTGGTTATGTCTTTATCTCTCTCTGATTTTATTAGGCTTGTCTGTTTTTTTTTGATATGTAACTACTTTCTGATCATACATCATACATGCATAACATCCGGTAAATTACGATGCGTTTGCCCTGTATATTCCAAATTTATGCGACCACCATTTTTATTTCTGTTCTGAACCATCAAATCGTTGCTCATACCGTTCCAAATTTGTTAGTTAAGCTGCTTTCCATGTCAAAAGCTTCAGAAGAATGCTTATATTTGCATACCTTTGTTCTAACTTAAACGCAACCAATCCGTTGACGACATTTTGATCCTATTTGCTGTGCTTTAATAATTCATACGCCAGGTGATTACAGAATGAAGTTTTGTATAAGGTGCAGCTAAGAAAGCGTCGGCACTAAGCAGGAGAACATATTAGACAGGTCGATGGCACGAATATACGAAATTGTTTTAATTACCAGAACACGGGTAGACAGCCCCGGCACTTACCTTAAGTTTCCAAATTATTACACTGTGCCGTTATCTTGTAGCCTGTACACACCGCGAGACGCTGTAGTTTATACCATTTGGGTTTGTGCGGCTTATAAAATATACTCAGCGACCAAGAAAACAGAACACCCATTAAAGATGATTTTATTCGAATGAAATTTTGTATTCTGTTAGACATGAGTAAATGTAAGGGGTGATTAAATTTTTGAAGGAAAATATTTGCTTTATCGCTGGATTTCACTGCGCTCAGCTATCCCAATACCAATACAAACAGGTGTAATTCTAATAAGTTTATTTACATATAAATATAATGTTTTAAAAAACGACTACTTGTGCATGGAAAAAGCAGTGATGAATATAACAATTATATGTAACATATTACAGCTTGATAATAATCTATCATTATACAATATCTATAAATATTCAAACATTAACTAAAATCATGAAATATTATTAATTTAACAATCTTTTCGTACGAATCAGTCTCGTTATATCGTGTCGTATGATTTTTTTGTTTCAACTTTGAATTTATCTACATTTGAAATGTATTCTATATGGGTAGATAAAGTATTGTACAGATGACTTAAAAGGAAAGTATAGGACCTCTGCCTATATTTCCTATATTACTTCCTACCCCACTGGGAAATGATTTATTGGGTTATTTGGATGTAAAATGGAATATTTAAACAAGATAACGTTAGTACACGATTGGCATACGGATAGTGCTTCTATGTTTACAATTTGTATGACGTTTGATCATGGCCGATAGTAATCACCATTTTATATTAAAAGTAAAACACGTTTTTTTAATTGAATTTATTGTATATTGTTTTTTTCACTGGATTTATGTATATATTACCAGCAATCTGTATAGTTCGGTATTCTATACAATACCTAGGTAAGGTATAGAATACCTAAAACGTGTAGGTAATGTATGGAATATTATTTGTTTTATACTTTGCCTAGGTATTCTATACAGTACTGAATGCGCCGCCGGTAATCTATGTAGAAGACAAGGGCAATGAACGGATTTTGCTCCAGGGGGTTTCCAGCAAAATCAGCTGCAAAACAGCGACAAGGCAGCTATAAAATAAAACTGGAGGAGTGTGAATGCCTTCTCGTGCTGAAGGTTAAAATCCCATAAGAAAATGGACGGGGTAGCAGCGAAACAAAAACAACTAAACGTATGGTACCAAATAAAAGGAGTACTACTCCATAATAATAATATCTAATATCCCAGAATCTGGAAGCTAACGAAACCACGCTCACACCACAATTTCCGCAGGAAAGTAAAAAAATATTAATTTGAATAAAGTTGATTTTAAATAATCCTTGTTTCACTTGCCCGTCATTTTATTGGTATGCCGGTCGATTTCCGCTGGCAATAGCGACAGTAGGGACTATCCTTAATGGTACGCACGTTTAAATATCGGTTGAAGTTCCCGTGTCCTGTAAGAAATTGAGTGATGTAGAAGTTTACATCCCCATGCTTCCTACAGTACCAGGGTTCAACCTGCTGGATAAGCGTGTGCATCCAGGAACCCTTAGGGTCGTTCTCCCATCTTTCCTGCCACTCACGAAGGGTCCGTTGCCTGAGAGGTTGTGGTAGGTCACTGGTATCGTACAACCTTTGACGCTCCAGGGCTAAAAGATCGATCGGTATGGCGCCTGCCACTACCAAAATGGCCCCCTCTGTAGTTTTCGATAGTCATTGCGTTAGCCCAGATTTACGCTCCGTACAGCATCATTGAATTAGCGACGTTCATCAGTACCCGCCTCGTATCTGCTCTAGGACCATCAACGTTTGGCATAAT